CTGGCACGGTATATAGCTGGCAATGATAAAACTCCCGAAGAGGGAAGGGAAAAATGAAGCCATTAAATAATTGATGTAATATACTTCCACATGAGTCTCTTGGATGCCTGAAGCTCTAAAGGGATGCAAGTTAAGAGCCTGATGTTCCATTACAACAGATTTAGCAAGAGAGGCTACTGGAGTTTCTCCTCTGTGGAATCCATTACTGTAAATCTCACTGAAATTAATATTCCAACCAGTGGATGGCCTGTCAAACAGAAACGATGTCAGAAAGCACCATTTCTCAAACATTAAGATGCAGATGATGGCCCGTAAAGTAAATGATGATTTGCTTCTTGGCCAAGCAAAAAGGTTGATAAAAGGTGTTACATGTTGATGGATGCATTTCTATAACATAGGCTCTGGCACTTTTGCTGAGCTAAAGAACCATCTGCTTGTGTTGGGTTTCAGAATTGAATGCTTTATGAGGTATGTTTCCCAGCTCAGAAACTTATAAAGTGCAAAGAAAATACACAATGTAGAATCTGAAAAACCAACTTCTAAACCTTTGTGATATGCTACAAGTAATAAATTCATATCCTTTATTTATTTTGCCTAACAGTGTAGGATATTGTTGCAGTAATATTTCAGGGAGGAGAGAACACATATCTGCGCATTATATACCCATATCTCCAAACAAAAATGCACATAGAGATATAATAATAAAATATACGGGGCATACATTAACAATGGGCACTAAGTATCTAGGAGTTCTTGTAACTTTCCTTTAAGTTTCAAATTACAACAATATAGATAGTGAAAAAATCTTCCAATGCTGCTGGGCAAAGGGTCAACGCCCCCCCCCACCTACCCCCAATAAATGAAAGAGGAACAAGCAGTTGTCAATCTTGTTTTTCCCCAAGACCAGCTCTGGCTCATTCTTTCTGTATCAGCAACAATGACTGACAGCAAAGATCTGATTTTATGATGGATTGTTAAATTATGAGGGTATGAGCCAAATCTGAGCCTGAACTAAATACTGAGATGTGAAGCAATATTCTTCACTGATTCTACTTGTAGAAAAATGCTAGAAAACAATCTTGACATTTACTCAGTAGCTAATCTGTCTCTAAGAGACATTCTTTTATCTACTCAGTAAAAGTATGTGAAAAAGGAAAGGTAGATAATATTCTAGGAATAGAATGATGTAATAGCTTCAGTTTAAAGCATTAACTCACAAAACATTCTTTGTCCATTTCATCCTTTATTTTCAAGGGTCAAAGTTCACTAAGAAGAACAGAGAAATTGATATGCCACCTTACCACATTGGTCAGTACACATCCATTCTTTAAATGATGCTACCAAGACATCACATTTTGTTCCACCAAAAACCTTTGAAAAACAAGGCACCAAAAGGCAGTAAAGTAAATAAACTTAAACTTCAGGAAGAGTAAAGACCAGGTTTTGGTATTCTCACACCCTTTCGAAGCACCTGGCCTCCAAACAGTGGGGAGAAAATTCTGTGAATTTCAAAACATACGACTCTAGTGACTACAGCAACAATTTTTTTTTTTTAAAGATGACTGGTAAGGGGATCTTAACCCTTGACTTGGTGTTGTCAGCACCACACTCTCCCAAGTGAGCTAACCAGCCATCCCTATATAGGGATCTGAACCTGTGGGCTTGGCGCCATCAGCATCACACTCTCCCAGTGAGCCATGGGTTGGCCCTTACAGCAACAATTTTAATAGCACAATTCAGGCACTTCATTTGGATATAGATTTAATAAGTGTTTTAGTCATTTATAAAAGCCTAATGGAATCCTTTTGCCAGATATAGAGCTACCCTGCTTTGAAGAAATACCCTGGAGGGAACAATCCTGTGTGGGATCATGCGAAGGCAGCCAGTTTGGAGATCTTTGGGAATGCTTGACACCCACCTGAGATAAGCAAGCACTAGTTCACACCTATTTTATCACCCAGATCATATATTCCAGCCTACATGATAGAAGAAAGACTTTTATAGAAGATTTAGTAAGCATTAGGAGGCAAGTCTAAGGACAAAAAAAAAAGGAATAAAACCTAGGGTCATCAACAGGAACCACAAGTCAGGGATGCTGATTATAAGAATTCTGTGTCCCTGCTCTCTCCCTATAAAGGGCCTGGGTGCTTGCCTGGGAGGGCACTACCAACAAATGGACTGTTAGGGAGACTTAGACACATTCCACTGATGAAGGTGAGCACTACCTGAAGGCAGAGAGGAGGCCAGGGCCTGGGAGGGAGACTGAAAGGCTCCTCACCTCCTTGTAAGCCAGAAGAACTCCATAATTTCAAGTAACTCACACAAAGAAACAACTTTTTCCCCTAGTGTCTTCATCTTTACAGGGGGGTTATCTATGTGTGTGTTTGCTTGCCATTGTGTGCCCAGACTAACATCTGACCCAAATATATTTACTCTTGGTCTTCCTCAATTTAAATGCAAGTGTCATGAGAGTAGGAACTTTGTCACTATTACATCTCCTGCAACAAGAACAGGGCCAGGCCATGGCAGGTCCACATGAAGTGTTTATTGAATGAATGGAAACAAAATGAATGAGATGTCTATTCACATTAACTTGCTGAACCTACTGCTCTTGAGAGACAGTAACAGGAAAAGTAGAATTCCAAAATGGAACACCAAACCACAGTGAAAGCAACCTGGTAATACTGGAACACTCAGGAAGGAAATATTGGCATAGTCAATAAGGAGGAAACTCAACTCTCCAAAACCTCATGTAGATAATTAAAACGATAAAGATTAAATATCTTCCTGAATCCATATCCCACTATGACTAATTACAAGAAGTATCTTGTGAATACTGAACTCCTCAACTCCTTGCAACAAGAATACTTAATTTAGGTCTGGGACATGGGTAGGTTCGAGTCTGCTCAAAATGTTACACACAAGGGCAAGATAAGATTTACAAGCCACATAACCAACAAAGGACTAGTATCTACAATAGAGAACTCTCAAAACTCAACATTAAAAAAAGAAAAAACTAAATTAGAAATTGGGCAAAGGGCCAGCCCGTGGCTCACTCGGGAGAGTGCGGTGCTGATAACACCAAGGCCTCGGGTTCGGATCCCATATAGGGATGGCCGGTTCGCTCACTGGCTGAGCGTGGTGCTGACAACACCAAGTTAAGGGTTAAGATCCCCTTACCGGTCATCCTTTTAAAAAAAAAAAAAAAAGAAAAAAAAGAAATTGGGCAAAAACATGAACCAAGAAAATTCATCCCTTACCGGTCATCCTTTAAAAAAAAAAAAAAAAGAAAAAAAAGAAATTGGGCAAAAACATGAACCAAGAAAATTCACTGAAAAGGATATGCACATGGCAAATAAGCACATGAAAGGATATTCAACATCATTAGTCATTAGAAAATTAAGACCACAATGAGGTAGCGCTGCACATATCTATCAGAATGGCTGAAATTAAAAAAAAAAATGGTGATAACACCAAATGCTGGCAAGGATGTAGAGAAACTGGATCACTTATACATTATTGGTGGGAAAGTAAAATGGTACAGCTACCCTGGAAAACAGTTTGGCAGCTTCTTAAAAAAACATGTAACTACAATACAACCCACCAATTACACTCTTGGGCATCTATCCCCAAGAAGTGAAAACTTATGTCCACACAAAAACGTGTTCACGAATGTTCATAGCAGCTTTATGTGCAATAGCCAGAAACTGGAATCAGCCCAGATATCCTTCAGCAGGTGAATGGTTAAACAAATTGAGCTACATACCTACCATGGAATATTGCTCAGTAATAAAAAGGAACAAACTATTGACACACACAACAGCTTGGATGAATTTCCAGCAGAATTAAGCTGACTAAAAAAGGTCAACCACAAAAGGTTATATACTTCTGTTTATACATTTCAAAATGACAAAATTCTAAAAATGCAGGACAGATTAGTGGTTGCCACTGATTAGGGGTGGGGTACAGGGGTGGCAGGAGAGAGGCTAGGTGTGGCTATAAAAGGGCAACGAGAAGATCTCTGCACTGTTGGAACTGCTCAGTATCTTGATCATGGTGGCCACAGGAATCTACACAGGTGTTAAAACTGTACAGAACTTAAACACACACACATATGAGTATAGGTAGAACTAGAAAAATGCGAACAGGAGACATGGATGTCAATATCCTGGTTGTGATATTATACTATAGTTTTATAAGATGTTACCATTGGGGAAAACTGGGCAAAGGGTACAAGAGTTCTCCGTTTCTACATGTGAATCTATAATCATCTTAATTTTAAAAAATTAGGTACATGGGAAGAACCCAAAGCTTTTCATCATAGTCTTGCTGGAGGGTCTGTACCTACTACTATCTATTCAGCAAGTACTATTTTACACACTGTTAAGTACATATATATAATCTCTAATCCTGACAACAATCTTATAGATAGGCATTAGTGCTGTTTTGCAAAAAAAAAAAAAAAAAAAACTAAGGCCCAGAGATGAAGTAATCTATCTAAAGTCACACAATAAGTAACTGAGCAAGAAACCAAATTCATGACCCTTCTGCTATTCCACACTGTCTCTCCGATAAGTAAGCTACTCAAATGCCATAAAATGACAACTCAAAAAAATAGATTGTTCCTACAGGGGCTGTAAAATTTTCAGTTTTCCGGAAGCCCTTTATGGTGGTAACCTAAATGGTTTAAACAGCATTAAAAAGGGGGAGAAATTACAGAATAATACATATGGCAAGACATAGTGTATTGAAAAAGACAACCCATAAAACAAAACTCTTCCTATATGTAAATGTACATGTACTCAAATGCACAGAAAAAGATCTGGGAGAGCACCCATAGATTGTTACTAGTTCTCGCCTCTTGGGCAGACTAAGGTGGAAGAAGAGAACTGGTCAAGGGGTATCTGAACTTTAACCACAGTGCTTGAATTTAAGACTGCATTCCAACTGAAGTACAACTTTTTTTTTTAAGAAGGGAAAAAAAGAAAGCAAACACTTACTGCATTCATAGATCTGTTCCAGCTTATCCACAGAAGAAAGGGAGAAAAATTTATAACCGGACTTACTACCAACAGCTAGGGACCTGCAAGAAAAACCAAATTCAGAAATAAGAACCGATTCACGTAGATAGTGATAGTGCACAAACTAGATCCGACAGTACCAGTTAGTAATCAGCATCTCTACCAAAAATTAGCACAGATCAAGTATTTTCACGTAGTTAGTACCAGGTGCATGGCAGAGGAAGATAACACAAGGTCACTAAAATATAGACAGACAATATTCCTTTTAAAACTTATAAAACTTTTTCTGGAGATGTAATGCACTGCATGGTGACTACAGTTAATAATAAAGTACTGTATACTTGAAATTTGCTAAGAAAGTAGATCTTAAGTGTTCTCACCACACAAAAACAGGTAACTATGAGGTGATAGATATGTTAATTAGCTTGACTGTGGTAATCACTTCACAATGTATATCAAAACATCATGTTATACACCTTAAATATATACGATTTTAACAATCATACCTCAATAACGCTGGAGAAAAAAATTAAAATAAAAGTACTAAAAAAACAAACGAATAACCCTTTTTATAACTCTGAAGATAAGTTTGAGATATAAATGAAAGTAATCAGCCCTAAATCATTGATTTCCTCAAAACAAACCAGGGTTTCTCAGGTGATTTGATATGCATGCACACTATGCGTGTCTAAAATTTAGAGTATTGGCTTACTTAACTTTCATACAAAGATAATTGCAATCTAGGTGGAAGTAGATACCTTTCTGCATTTTGGTAAGGCCTTTAACAACCATGGCTCAATCACTTATGTTGTGCTATAATAATAGCTGAACAGTGGGGTAGAAAGGAAACATAACTTATAATATGGAATCAGAGGACCACATGGTTGGCTTAGAAGGAAAAGGCTTTTTGATAGCCTCATGTTTAAGATTCCATATTCACCACCCAACAGCCCTGCTTTTTGCTAAGAGGCTTGGAGGAACTCAAGAGCTCACTAGACCCTCCAAGCACAGGAAATCTGTGACACTAAACAAAGGATTTTATGATCAGAAAATTACCTCTCTCCAGAGCGTGACTGACCAAGGAAAGCAGAAACAAGAAAGCATAGCTCTCAGAAACAGAAGGATGAGCGAATGAGGCAGGAAGCGATGGGTAAGGGAAGAATCAGACACTAGGATCATTTCTGACTTAATGTCTGGGAGAACATGAAAACAAGTGGAATTACAGAAGAGTAGAAATAATGAAGATGGACATTTCATACTATGAGTATTTGTACCCCAAGATAAAATTAGGGCTATTCTAATGATCATTTTAAAAAACTTGATTTCCAGCCTCCCTTTCACACATATGTAGAAGAAATATACTCCAAGAAGGGAGGTGCTACAAGAACTATTAATATTTAAAATTATGTTGGTTCATCTTAGAAGTATAAAAGAACAAAACTCTTTATACCAGCTCATATAATCTTTCTTTGCAAATGTATTTCACTATATTGAATTAATTATATCAATGAAGTAATTGGGTATTATTACCTGTACATATTTTGAAAAGTAATAATAAAAGAACCAACAAAATACAAGAATAACCAGGAAGAACAAAAAGAAAACAAAATCTCAGCAACCCAGAACTTTCAGGAAATCAGTGTTCAGGAAAATATTTTCCAGATAACTAAAGGTTGTTACTTTATGCACCAATTCCCCCCACCCCCATTTTCTGATTTAAAAACCAAATAATTCTTAAAGTGTATGCTTTCCTGTGTTCTTAAAACAAGTGAATGACAAATTCTTTTAAGTTGAGGGTTTTGTGTACCTCACATCAAATGGCCAGACTGCAGTGCTGAGTTTATAAAAATATTTTTCTAACTTTTGTTTTGCTGACAGTTGTCACTTTTCCTTGTGACAATCCTACTATCATTAACAGCCCCTTTCCTTTTCTGATTTCTTGTTGACTTGGAAACCAAATCACCAAGCTTATTAACATTATGTATAAAATAAGCCTAGAGAGGGCCTTTCCCACAGGCAAAATTAATGAGCCTGAGTACCTGATCCTTGAATGTGAGAAAATCCCAGTTCTCAGCTGTGCTCCGTAACAAACAGAATTTGTTAAACTGGGCTTTGCAGATCAAGTTTGATGTTCTTCCAGATATTCAGAAACTGATTTAAGTTATTAAACACCTCATCTAGAATTTTAATCCCAATGTCTACAAAACTGATTGCAGACTCCAATGAGTTAAGAAATGGAAGCAAAAATATTCCAGATATTTTTTGAGATGTATATATAGTGTAGCATAAGTATATACTCTATCAGTAAAGGCAGTCATTGTAAAAAGGTAATATCAAACCAAATAGGTTTGATATTTTCATCTCAAATATCAACAGCCAAGTTCGCACACCCCTCTTTGGAGATTATGCTTTTAATAATTTCTCAGGACTAGCCTGACAATAAAATGGCAGAGATATTAATGAGAGAGGTAGAGCAACAGATAAGGATGAGATTTGCCCTGACAGGTAATCTTACTGCCAATAAAAGCTTATGTGGGCATTTTTAAAAAGGTAACACAGTAGGATCTTTTATTGACAAAGGGAAAAACTAACAAACAGAAAAAAGATGTACATGCTGAATCCCCCATTTAGCTACTCTACCCCACCTTTCAACTGCGCCTGGAGTCTAAATCCAGATACCCTGTTTCCCCCTCTCCAGAGACCAGGCCTAGGCCTGCCTTCTGCTAGGGCAGGAGAGGGAGTGACTGCTTCTTAAATACACTTTCAACCACCAATCCTCTATCTTCATCCCACTTCCCTTACCCCACTTCTAGAGCTGCCCTAGACCTACAATTCCTGAGCCTTTTGGGGATTCTGCAGTTTAAACTAGGTCGGTTCTCTGCTTTCTCCATTAGCAATTTAAGATTCAGCTTCCTTTACCACTTGCTGGTTTCCAAATTTGATTACTAGCATCTCCTTTCTCATTCTCCCCATCCTATGGTTTAAGCCTTATTTTAAAAGTATCTTTGGGCCGGCCCGGTGGCGCACTTCTATAGTGCGCCGCTTGGGAAGTGTGGTGGCGCTCCCGCCGAGGGTTCAGATCCCACATAC